AAGACAATTAAACCCTCTTCTGCTGTCTGCACTGCAACTATAACTATAAACAACTAATGTACTTGTGCTTGCATGCATGCTGTCTACAAAAAAAGAATTATACATACATATATACATATATATATATCAATAATAAGAAGTATTAGTACAATACTAACTACACTTAGGCTGCACGTAAGCATCAGAACCTGTTCTAAAGATATTACAACCCTAAATACCAGACCTTATGAGTTTATTTTGTTTATCTAGTCTAATTTCAATTGTATTTCTACTATTTAATTAAATAAGTAGAAGAAATGCATTGAATCAAGAGAGGGGAGGCGGGGTTTGTGCGCAGTTGCTATGGAGGCGATGCATGCAGCTAGCGTTCCTGAGGACGGACACCTAATAAAATAAACGAATTATTACCTTTGTTATAAGATTTAATTATAAAGAAACAAAGAATAAAAAAGAATTATTATACTGCATGCAATCAATAAGACTATGGTCCACAGCCCCGTTGTTGTGTGCCTCAACAGGGGGAAGCCGCATGCTGCGTTGTTATAAGATCTTCTTCTTTTTGTATTAACATAAAACAATTTTGCTGAAATATTTTTGAAACTAATAATATTACGGAGGGGTTTGCTGCATTTAAACTCGGCTCATCCTTGCCTTCTAGGACGCTGGTGCTGCTGTTGCTGCTGCAGCTGTAGCTGCTGCTGCAGCAACAGAAAGAGCGCATTCATTGCTTTTAAGGTACTCTCCTTTTTGATCTAGGACGCTGGTGCTGCTGTTGCTGCTGCAGCTGTAGCTGCTGCTGCAGCAACAGAAAGAGCGCATTCATTGCTTTTAAGGTACTCTCCTTTTTGATTTTTCATTTGTTAATTGTTTTCCACTTTCTTTGTTTTTTCTAGATCTCCGTCTTTAGGTTTTAATGCCTTCGTGGGGCCCTCCAGCTGCTGCAGCTCGCCTCCTTCTGCAGGGGGGACTCGAGGAGCAGCAGCAGTAGCGATTAGGTTTTATTCCGTTTATTCTTTGTTTGTTTGTTGTAGATTATTATTCTCTGGTGTTTATCACTGCTTGCAGAAAGGGTATTTCGGGTATTTTATTTTTTCTTCCGCTGCTGCTGCTGCTGCTGCTGCTGCTGCTGCTCCAGTGGCGACATCATCCGCTTGTTCTGCTGCTGCAGCTGTTAGCGCAGCAGCAGCTAGATAAAAGGTTTCTGGTTTGAATTTTTCTCGAAGATGCTGATCCATCCCCTTCATGTGGGGAGTTTGTTTGTGGCTGCGGGGTGTCTAGACAGGTGTTTGTGTATGCAAGAAATGCAGCTCAAAGCAACGGACACAGAAACTGAAGACACCGTTGAACTTCGTTTAGACGGATTAGATGGGATTGTTGATGAGGCTGTTCCTTCTTCTAGAGGCAATCAAGATATTATACCAAGTGATGTAATTAAGATGGCTGTAGAGGCAGGAGATCGCACCAGAAAGAAGATGCTGCTTGCAGGTGTAGTTGCTCTTATTGCTATTGCTGCTGCTGTTGCAGCCTCTTTAGGTGCTGGGATGCTTCAGGGTTCATTAGATAAAGGTAAACGAAAACCAGCAGCAACAATTACAGAAAAACAGTATGCACTTATGGCACAGGTAAAGGAGTTGAGAGCACAGGCAGGGGCCATCGGGGATCGATTCCCAGAGCTTGTTGAAGATTTATTTAATTCATATTCTGCATATTTTGGAGGCATAGAGAAGAATTTAAGGGGGGCTATAGGGAGTCTAAAGGCCTCCGGTGTCTGTACACTAGAAGCCGAGGAGGAGTTTGAAAAAGGTGTAGAAACAGCGATCAAAGAGGGCAGCGCAGACAACCTTGAAGGGGCTTGGGAAGAGATGCGGCAGCACTTTACTGATAGTGAGAAAGCTGCAGCACTGGCAGCAGCAGCAGCAGCAGATATATCTTCTCTCACAACAACGTGGGAGGAGACCCTCCCTAAGAGTGTGCTGCAAAAGGTGCATACTTTGCAAGAAGAAACAACGAGTGGTGTATTACCGACTAAAAAGCTTGTTGTTTCTGCGCTGATGCAGCATGAAGCCGCAACTGCTAATGCAGCAGCAAGAAGAGGGAAGAAGCTAGGAGAGACACAAGTACAACAAGCACAGATCTTCTTGAGTTTTGTAGATATAGCAGGATTAAAGGCCGAGAGAACAGAGGACGTACAAAGAGCAGCAGCAAGTCTTACAGAAGCCATCCGCAAATATTCTGACTTAATGCAAAAGGCAGCACTTCTGCACCAAGAAGCAGATAGTCTTAAAGATGGTCTGAAGAGAAGACAGAGAAGATCACGAAAATAATTCATTATACAAACACAAACAAATATATTCAAAAGAAATCATACAAATACAAACAAAATAATCATACAACACCTTTGGGGCTCGCAAGCAACCCCACACAGCCCCATGCATGCATGCATACATGCATGCATGGGGCTGTCTGGGGTGTCTGCATGCATGAAGGTTCAGAAAAATGGCTCAATGAATATGCGAGTTAAAGGAGACCCCGCGGAGACGGGGGGGTTTGCTGCACTTTTGTTTAAATGAATAATAAATAAAAGGGTAGAACTTCAGGTCTTGTTTGTTTTCTTGAAGATGCTTTGCTGCTGCGCTGCATGCATGCACACTGCTGCGAGTCTTATTCTTTATTGTAGTTGGTGTGGCGCTTCCTCTTTCTGAGGTGTACAGACAGAGGAGACAGAATGCCTCAGGCCTCCCGCATGCACAGCTTCATCTTGCTCTGCTGTTGTTGCAGCAGCAGCAGCAAAATCAGCAAAAGCAGCAACAGCAGCAGCAACACGAGCAGCAAAAGCAGCAGCAGGAACAGCAGCAGCAGCATCAGCAGCAACACGAGCAGCAGCAGCAGCAGCAGCAGCAACAGCAGCTGATCATATGCTTGTCTTCGCTGCAGGCGAGTTCCTCGCAACGTGCCCCAGCCACTTGGCTACTCAAAGGGTAAAACCTTCAATACAACACTGTCTTTTGGGGTTTAGGGTTTACGCCCGGCTTGTCTAGGGTTTAGGGTTTAGAGGCTTCCTGCTCTTTAGGGTTTAGAGGCTCACGGTTGTCGAGGGTTTAGGGTTTAGAGGCTCCCTGCTGTTTAGGGTTTAGGGTTTAAAGTCTCCCTGATGTTTAGGGTTTAGGGTTTAAAAAGTTTTATAAAGGCTTTCTGCTGTTCAGGGTTTAGGGTTAGCTCATGCGCAGAGACCCCTAAAGCGCCCCTCTGTTTGCAGTTTGCTGCTGCTGAGGGTTTAGGGTTTAGGGTATTTACTTGCATCGTGTTTGCTGCTCCTAGGGTTTAGGGTTTAGGGTTTAGGGTTTTTCAGTCTTCCTTAAAGCTGAGAGGAAACTCGGGGTCGTCGAAGAGCCACTCAGTCCCTTCCTGCTCCTCCATATCCTCCTCATATCCTCCCTCTTCCTGCTGCTGCTCCTGCTCCTGCTGCTGCTGCTGCTGCAACTGCTGCTGCTGCTGCTGCTGCTGCTGCTGGGGGGCCTTCAGGCGGTGCAGCGCGGAGGCCAACCACCACTGGGCGATTACACCCCCAGTTAATACTCTCCTAAGGGGCAGCAACGAGCTTAGTCCTAACTGCAGCAGCAACAGCAACAGCAACAGCAGCAGCAGCAGCAGTAGCTTTGCTATGCACTGCGTCATAAAGAGAAACCCTTAACACCCACAACACACCCGAACGCTTGCTGCTCCGCGCAGCAGCAACAGAAAGGCAGCAGTAGTAGCAGCAGCAGAGAAGCAGCAGCGGGCAGCTGCTGCACGTATTGAAGGCGAAGAGCAGCCCCGTAAGATACCCAACAGCAGCAGCAGCAGCAGCAGCAAGAGAAGAAAAAGAAGAAAGAGGCATACTAGCTTATAGCAGCAGGCAGCCAACGACCCCCCTAACAATGCATGCGCGCCAAGGAGTGCAGCACTTCGACAGAAAAAACGAAGAGACAGTCTCTCAGACTGTCTCCTTTCACCCTCCCCCTGCAGCAGCAGACAGTAGCAGCAGCTAGAGCAGCAGCAGCTACAGAAGCAGCAGCTAGAGCAGCAGGAGCAGCAGAGAGGAGGCGCTTAGACCCCATTAATAAACAAAGGATAACACAAAAAGGAGACACCTTGTCTTGCAGAGACAGAAAAGAGACACCCGCATACACTACACTGCAAAAGGAGACAATTGCTTCTCTTGAACAGCAAAGACAGCAGCACTGCTGCAGCAGCTCTGCAGCATGGAGACAGCCCCAAGTAGAGGAGACAGGGTAGACAAGAAGGAGACAGTAGAAAGGACGAGAGAAGCATCCTTAATACCTGCAAAGGAGACGGAGAAGAAGGAGAGCCTCCACCATACATCAAACGCCAGCTCAAACTGCATGCAGCAATTAAAGCTGTGGGCCCCGCCTTCTGCACTGTTGACCCCAAAGCAAACAGAGGAAGAAAATATTTACTAGAAGACAAGAGCCTAAGGAGACACATACACAATAAAGGAGACACTTAAAGACATAAGGAGACACCTGAAGATATAAGGATATACACGGAGACACTTAAAGATATAAGGAGACACGTACACAGTCAAGGAGACACTTGCACACAGAAGGAGACACCTAAAGATATAAGGATATATAAGGAGACACTTACAGAGACAATGAGACACACGCACAAGGAGACACTCAGAGACATAAGGAGACACATACACAATAAAGGAGACACATACATAATACAGGAGACACTTAAATACAGAAGGAGACACCTAAAGACATAAGGAGACAACTGAAGGACATAAGGAGAAACTTAGGGACAACGAAACACCTGAGAAAGACAAGGGGACACTTAGAGAGATAAGGAAACACCTAAGAGGGATAAGGAGACACTTGAAGAGATAAGCAAGCACTAAAAACGCAAGAGGAGACAGCAAAAACGAACAATGGAGACTCGCGACCTGAAACGCTGTGCTGGGCCTGCTGCTGCTGCAGCTGTTGCTGTTGCTGCTGCTGGTGTTGCTGCTGCTGCTGCTGCAGTTGGTGTTGCTGCTGGTTTTGGGGTCCGTGTACCTCTTTAGAAAGCTCGAATTGCTTCCGTGCTGCTGCTGCTGCTGCTGCTGCTGCACCTCCTCTACTAGGGAGCGGAAGCGGGGAGACAGCCCCGCAGTCTCTGCGTATTGAGGATCCATCTCACTGGGTCTCCTTACACTGCAGCAAATAAACAAACGTTACTCTTGAGGTGTATGCACGTACACCCCAGCAACCAATAGACAAGTTCTAATGCAGAAGCAGCAACATAGCCTCAAACAAACAGACAAGAAAAGCCCTATTCTACACGCACACACACACACTGCATGCATGCATGCATGCATGCATGCATGCATGCACGGTGTACAGACAGCTGAAGAGGGCTGACTGTCTCTTACAGGTCCCTGGGTTGTGCAGCATTGAGGGTGTCTCCTCCCAGCAGCAATCTGAAGAACCTGCTGCTCCAAGTGTCTCTTTTTGCGGCGATTTCTTCTTGCTGCTGCAGCTGCTGCAGCTGCTGCAGCAGCCGCTTCTCGAATACTTCAAGCCACTTGCGGTGCAGCTTAGGAGCGAGAGGAGAAGTTTTATTTTCTTTTCTCCATTTAGACAAAGCGTTGAAGACAGCGCGGGGCCCCACATCCTCAGAAAGCCCCAAAATCCCCCAGAACTCCTCATCGCTCATCCCTGCATGCATGCATGCATGCAGCAGTACATACACCCAAAGACATATATACGCATACATATGTGCATGCATGCATGCATGCATATATGTATGCAGACAGATAAACAGGTGTATATACGGGCAGATAAACAGGTGTACGTACACCCCGAAATATTAAAACAAATGCATGCAAGTAGAAATACATGCATGCAGAAACAGATAAAGCGTTCGCTAATGCAGCAAAAAGCCACATAAATAAAACAAACCCACGAAATAAAACAAAATAAATTAAATTAAAACAAAATAAAATAAAATAAATAAAACAAATATTAAATGCATCTCAATTGAAGCAAGCAAAATACCTGATGGCTTTCTGTCTTCCTCCGCTGTCGGTGGGTCCAGCAGCTCCTGCAGCAGCAGCTGCTGCTGCTGCACCGCTGCTGCTCTCTCTAACTCCTTTGAAGGAAGCTCCTCAGTAGTCTCCCTCAGAGGGGCCCTCAGGTAGGGCCCCCCTGCTTGGCTGTCTCTTCGCGCAGGAGCAGCAGCAGCATCCGCTGCAGCAGCTGCTGCAGCGGCAGCAGCAGCGGCTACATGCTGCTGCAGACGCTGCTTAGGTGGCACAGCTGCAGCAGCAGCAGCAGCAGGCCTCCAGGGTCCCGGGAAGCAATAAGGAGAAGAATTTATTAGAAAGGGGGGCCCCTTGGGGGCCCCTCTTTTCCCTATCGCATATACCTTGCTGCTGTCTGCTCGATTGCATGCAGCCGCATGCACAAAGGAGAGGGGCCCCACATATACACCCGGAGCACCACCTATGAATGCCGCTCTGCAACTATTTAAACAAAATCCTTTGGGGGCCCCCAGAGTGAGCGCTTCGGGGGCCCCCCTGGGGCCCCCTATGAGGGGGGGCCCCTTGGTAGGGGGGCCCCCCACGTTTGCTGCTGGAAGCAGCAAGACATTATCTGTTAATAAATGTGCAGCACTCTTTGCATGCACAGAAGGAGGGGAGAGAAAAAGGAGACAAAGAGCGAATTGCAGCGTGTGTAGTAGCAGCAGCAAGATACGCCCGGTGGTCATGGCGCTGCAGCAGCGGCAGCAGCAGCAGCAGGGGGCGCTGCAGTTGCTGCTGCAGCTAATGCTGCTGCTGCAGCTGCTGCTGCAGCTAATGCTGCTGCAGCTGCTACTGTGGACTCCCTATACGGGTGGTCTCTGGGGGTGTTAATACACCTCAGTGTCTCCTAAAGCTCCTCTATTCAGATCTGCTGCTGCTGAACCTGCTACTGCTGCTGCTCAGGCTGCTGCTGCTGCTGCTACTACTGCTGTTTTTGCTGCTGCTGCAGAGAGGCCTGCACAAGACAAAGGAGCGCAGCAAGGGAGAGGTGGGTGTTTAGAACAAAGGAAACCAAGACAAGACAGACAGCGAGACAGCAGTATTAACAATTAAAATAAAGACAAAGAAAGAAATAGAGAAGCAGCGCCAGCAACAGCAGCAGCAGTAGCAGCAGCAAAACAGCTGCAAAAGGGGCCCCCAGTGGGCCCCACAGCAGCGAAGGGGGCCCCCATCACCTCTCTAGGTACTCGCCCTCAGTCAAAACAAAATATTTTTATTGTTATTAAAATAAATAAATAAATAAATAAATAAATTTATTATTAAACAGAAGACCGCGAAAGACACACAAAGGCAGCAGCTGGGCGTTGAGCTCGGGGCCCCCAGCGGCCCGCCCCAGGAGCTAGGGTTTAGGGTTTAGGGTTTAGGGTTTGCAACGAAGCAAGGAATAGAAAGAAGCTGCTAATGACTGGGGAAGATGAGGGCTGGCAATTTGTATGCCGGCGTGGGAGACGACGGCCTGTTGGTGCTGGGATCGTCTCTAAAGACGATCCCGGGGATCGTCTGAGTCTGAGTCGATCCCAGGTCGAGTTTGCACGAAGTATGTGCAGGTATGGGGGCCCCGGGCCCCC